TCATGATATTGTAAAATTTATGATAAACTGTTATAAATGTTAAATCCAGTGTAATGTCATGATATTGTTACATTTATGATACACTATTAAAAATGTTAAAGCGAGTGTAATGTCATGATATTGTTGCATTTATGATACACTGTTATAAATGTTAAAGCCAGTGTAATGTCATGATATTGTTGCATTTATGATACACTATTAAAAATGTTAAAGCGAGTGTAATGTCATGATATTGTTGCATTTATGATACACTGTTATAAATGTTAAATCCAGTGTAATGTCATGATATTGTTGCATTTATGATACACTGTTAAAAATGTTAAAGCCAGTGTAATGTCATGATATTGTAAAATTTATGATAAACTGTTATCACTGTTAAATCCAGTGTAATGTCACGATATTATTGCATTTATGATACACTGTTATAAATGTTAAAGCCAGTGTAATGTCATGATATTGTTACATTCTGCAATAGAGAATTAACATTTAAAAAAGTTTTGACAAAATCTGAAAAGTGTGATAGAATGAAGATAGTGTTGTGATTAAAGATATGAAGACATTAATGGTGCTTGATTCATTTTACTGGCTACACTGATGTGTAACTGAAAAAACTAAATTGTTAAAACGATTGACTGTTAACCCGAATTTCAACCAAAACTAATACTACTTTCTGCCACATATTATAATAAATATGTGTGATATTTAAATGATTATTGGAATATTTTTTGCAAAAGTTTACATTAACAATAAAAGGGGGCTGTAGTCTACAACTCCAAAGCTATTAGCAAAAATGCAAAATTTAGCCCTGAGTGAAACAAAGTAAACAATTTGCATGGACAGCAAATGAAGATCCTGGATGAACAAGAAAATTCTGTGAAATTTTGTTCTGCACCTATCAGGAGGAGGTCACAATAATTGCACAAAATGAAATCAAACCATGACATTTAAGACTGCCATAACATCACTGGGCACACGTGGGAAGTAACCAAGTTTTGTTGCCCTACCTAAAATGGTATTGACATAAACGTGTACACAAAGGGATCAGTGACCGTTTCTTTCAAGATAAATCTTTATCTACCATACACAGGATCTCACAAAATTGAGAAACTTGTACCATAGTCCACCCCTGTATCATCAATAGTGATAATGACCTTGACCTTTAGAACAAGACCTCAAACATGCAATGCAACACACCATCTAGTGATAAGGTACACATATACCAAGCTTTACCAATCCATCTTAAACAGCTGCCACGTTAGAAAGTAGATGTGACTGAAACCCAAATTATTGACCTTTTACCCTGACGATGATAATAGGACCTCAACATTAGCATTGACACACTGATGATAACTATCGTCATACCAAATATACTTGATTCATCTTGAATGGCTCTATAATTATTTAGTGGAAAGGAAACTGTAATAAAAAATTAAAAATGCATCATTATGACATTAATGTGGTAGGTAACTATTAATAATACCATATATGTACATCAAGTTGCATTTCATGACCTCCAACATCTATGAAATTATGGAGTAGAAAAGGATATGTGAGGGAAATCATAAAATACCCGGTTATAACCTTGACCTTCAAGATGTTTTACACCAGATTTGGTATGTAACACAATTTCATGCGATGATTTACAAATTATATGAAATTTGTTTAGTAATAAAGCACAAAGGAAGGTGTCAAAAATGCAAGAAATTGAGTCATCACCTTAACAGTGAAAAAGCACTCAAAATGTGGTACACAATGCACCTGATAGTGAGAATCTGTAACTGCACCAAGTTTCATGCCATAATCTCAAAAGGCTTTCACATTATAAAGCTGAAGGGTAATCAAGATAAAACTATGAAATTATACTGGAGCAGTGACACTGACCTCAATAGCACACCCCATCTTTTAATGATGCTCTGCAGTCATCCCTTGATCTTAAATGGCATTAAAGTTATAGAGCAGATGGAAAAGTATGATGGAAACCAAAACAAATTTAGTTGCGACAATGACCTTGACTGACCTCCAATGTGGTACACCTTCTAGTGAGTATGTGCAAGTCTGACAATTTTCATCCATTTAAGTCTCAAATGGCTTTAAAATTATGCAGATAGCTGTCTTGTTCTTCAGCATTATCTCATAAAATATGACTAATTCTGTGTTATGAGGAGCTGGTCTATTTAAAAGTGTGTTCAACATACCACAGAAAGTAGGTCATAAGTACCTAGTTTGGGTTTGACACAGATTTCAAAGATGCAACTTTGGTGATAATAATTAAACTTTGAAAATGAGAGCATTGACTCATTCTTTAAATAATGTTCAAAATCCTAAAAAACACATTGCTGAGTGACAGAGCTTTAACATGGAAAATGCATTAATCCTAAGACACAAAAGTCTGGTGTGTGTGTGTGTGTGTGTTTTGGATTTTTAACGTAACTTTAACAATTTTTCAGTCCTATTGCTACGATGTCTGCAGTGTGGCAGTTTATAGTGATGTCCCGCACTGGAGCATCATGCTGCAGACATTTAGCATTATGTCCCACCCAGTCACACTATCCTGACACCAGGCATACAACTCCTAACACAAACCTCTTAATTCTGAGCATCAAGCAAGGCAGCTGCTAGTACATTTTTATAAATCTTTCGTATGACTTGGCCAGAGTTTGAACCAACAACCTCCTGCATCCAAGGTGGACACTAACTACTTGGCCACCAGAGCGGTTAAAAGTCTGATACCACTATTTCAAATACTGGAGCTTAAGACTGAAACAATTTTTTTTTAAATTCTAGAAAGAAAGTAAATTTCTACAGAGTTGGTACATGACACAGATTCATCCAAAAATGCACACGAAGTGTAGGTTTTTGGCCAACAGGTGTAGTAGAACATAAATTACGGCTGAACACAACTTTTAAGCAAATAAAAATGAATCCTGGAAAGTAGGTTACATTAAGTTTCAGTTCACAAACATGTCCAAGTATGGATGCAATAGAGTTTAGACCCAGGCATGATTATCAAGCAATATTAATATGATTTCCCTCCCCTACCAAACCCTGACCTTTGACTTTTTGACAACAAATCAATATGGCTCTATCTTACCCAACACACAAGCCATCCACAAATATTGGTGACAGTAAATCATCATTAAACAATTTTACTTTTTTCAGTTATACAAACCCTGACTTTTGACTCCAAAATCAACAGTTTTCTTCCATACTCCACTTTAACTGTGGCATAGATTTTACAACTGTTCACTGCAAAGTAGAAAATTACAACAAACAAAATGAGTTGCACCATAAAGACAGTTATGAGCGTCATCATATATGACAATGTTCTCATCATCCATCATCTGTGTCATGTCACATACCTAAAATTACAAGCAGGAATACCCACATGAAGGCATCATAGAAAGCACATGACTGAAAAAGAATTTAATTATAAACCAGAAACAAGTCTGAACTCACCTTACTTTGAAAAGGAAACCTAGGTTGGAATGCCTGAAGAAAAAAAGAAATAGATTTTTAATTTATGAGCATTGCTTCAATCATCTTGATTGTATTGTCAATATAACTATAAACTGTTTTGTTATAAAGACATACCTCAGCACACCATCCACAAAAATCAATTGTGTAACGTTAGATTCCAACATTACTGTAACTATTTTTTTCTTCTAATTTTAATGATGACAGCATTAACCATATATAAAGGCAGATCATCTATAAAACTTCTTGCGTTAAGATGTTTGTAATGGTGGCCATTTTTAGTTACGAATCATCTGTGACAGAATACTTCAAAGACTGTGATGTTTTAAATTAATTTCCATGAATCAAAGAGAGACTATTCTTCATTTTAACAGCTAAGTCTTGAAACCATCTCTGATAATCTTGAGCTACAGAAAGATTTTTAAATTGGCCTCTCTGGCAGCTATACTGGATGCATGATTGGGACTATTTTCATTTAGAATCAACTAGTCTTTTGGTCCAAAGCCCAGGTCAGTATGATTTGCAATAAAACAACGTACAAGATGGCAGCCATATTAGTTTCATGACATATCATCTTAGAACTTGTGATTAAATGATGACTGGTTAAAACCTTTTCATCACAAGGATGGTCGGTCACTCCCTTTATCTGAATTGATATAAAAATTGTAGTAAACATGATATTACAAAGCAGCACTGGTTTTAATTGAGTTTAACAATGCAACATATAACTTCAGAAGTCAGAAATTAAAAGTCGGCATTTAATCAGGTTCTCACAGAAATGCTAATTAACATGGAAATGACAATAAACTGAGTAAACTGCTAAGCTAGTAGTACAATACTCAGTCTGTCCTGCAAGATTATTTAAGCAGTGTTGCTAAGCCCATGAACTATGGTCAAGACAGAAAAATTGAGAAGAAACATTATGGTGTTTTTAAGTGAGGAAAAAAAAAAATCACTTTTTAGAATTCCTTCAGTGAATCAATGAGACATTTCTGCATATGAATTGGCAATTACAACTAAAAACAATCGAAGTATGGCATTATGGGCTGCATTCCTTCTTTCAGTGAAGCCATCAAACCACGTGGAAATTAACAAACAATTTAATAAATGACTGTGTGAAGCAAAGGATGCCTTCTCTTCAAGGAGTGACTGGTGTAGAACAATCAACTGTTACGAAATACCGAGTGATGTGTGAGAGAGTAGGAAGAGTTGTATTGGCTTGCATTTAAGCTGATGTATCAAGTTATCTTCAAGGCACTGCTTTTTACTGCATACATTGAGTGATGTGATGTGATTATGATTTTTTATGTAGCTTTAAAAAATTTTCAGTCATATCACTATGATGTCTGCAGTGTGGCAGTTTATAGTGATGTCTAGCAATGGGGCATCATGCCGCAGATATGTAGCATGATGTCCCACCCAGTCACATTATCCTGACATCAGGCCGACCAGTCCTAATACTAACCTCTTAATGTTGAGCATCAAGCAAGGCAGCTGTTAGTACCATTTTTTGTTAGTCTTTGGTATGACTCAACCGGGGATCGAACCCATGACCTACCACATCTGAGGCAGATGCTCTAACCACTAGGCCACCAAAGCGGTTGCATACATTGAGTGATAGAACTATTAACATTTTAAAAAAGTCCAGTTAACTATCCATGCTAAATAACATTCCTGTTTAATAAATATACAAATATCAGCAAAAGGTTTGCTGTTGTTTATTAATTACCAACTGCTGAGTGGGATCAAATGATGTTTAATCAGTTGTACAAATGATCAAGGAGATATGATGAAATGTCCTAAGATCAATCATCATATGATCATAGACCTTGTGACCAACTGTCTGTATGATAAACCAATCTTATGACCAATTATCCTATGATCAACAGCCCTATAATCACCATACCGACACCACTTTATTTTGGACCAAATAAGATTCCATAGATAGTCTCTTTGCAAAAACCAGATGCTCATGTGACCATCCAATCAGAAGTTGCAGTAATGACAAGATTTTAAAATTGGTCACCATGGAGGTCATAATGGATGTCAAATTGGAGTAATTTTCTGTAGGAAAAAACTTGCTGCTAACCCAAGTAGCACAAAATCAAAATAAAGATAAGGATCTGGTTTAGGTATGGGATTTTAGTTGGTAAGGTATGGTTCAACGGTATAGTTGCTTAAAATAATCCCACCTCTAAATCCAAAATGGAATTACACCAGCCTCAAAATATGGCCCAATGTAATGTTTTTAATATTATAGCAAACATTTACCTTCCATAGATATATTTATTATAGGAATTCAATGAAGCATACATGTGATTCTACCAGGAGAGGCCAAAAACACTTAAAGTCTATCTACCACACATTGTTTTATAGTTGAAATCTTTCACATTTGAAAAAACACTTAAAGTCTATCTACCATACATACTGTTTTATAGTTGAAATCTTTCACATTTGAAAATTAAAAGAATTTTTTCAAAAAAATTTATTTAAAAACTGAAAAGTATATACATGTATATGTTTTCTAACTACAGGTTAGAGAAACCAAACAGAACCAGTCTAGTGGGGAGGAGTGGAGGGGCCAGAAATGTTCCACCAATACAACCACAGTGTGGTGATGCATGCCACAGCATCAGGATTAGAACCATATGTGTACATGGAAAGCTATTAAATGATTACCCTACTTTTCGAATTTGGATAATTTAAGGCCAAATGCCAAATGTTTCTGAGCTATTATAAGCAATTAAGGAGAAAACAGCGAACAAGATGACTTTGGAGTCTTTAATGAAAATCGTCTGCGAGACATAAAAAAAAATTATTTTGGCAGTTTGGCAGACACACAAATGTATTTTGATTATCTGTCATGAATAACTGGTATTGTTCAAGATATTTAAGAGGAATATTTAAGGACAGCTCTCACACATTTTAAATTTAATTCATGGCAAAAGGACAAAAGGTGTTTTCTCCCAATGCTAAGAAATCACATGCAAAGAAATATTACAAGTTTAATAATGCTTGGATATCAGAGTTTAGGTGAGGACCAGCAGTAGCAAAGGTAGTGTTTGCAATTGTGTGTTTCAAAGGTGAGCATCTTTTATATTTCATAAACTATTTGATCTTTTCAGGCAAATAAATTAAGTTCAATCCCTATATAAAATATATCAGTTCACAATATATTACATGATAAATAGTTTTTAAGTGGGGATAAATTATTCATAAAAGCATGCTACATAATGTCATTTTTCACAGTTTATTTCAAGTCAAAACAAATCTTGGTTTATTGTGGGTGGAGTTAACAGTGGTGAAACATGCCAACAAATTTGGATCAAAGCTATGAAGAGAAAGTAGCCATTCATGGATAAGGCTTAGGAATATATATCTAAGACAGAGTCAGAATTTCCTCCATGTGGTGAACATAATTTAGACAGCATTTGACAGGGTATCGTTGTCCTCTCATTAAAATATTCTAATGCTGATACAAAGAGGTCATTTCCATTCTTCACAAAATACAGAGTAATTCAGGGCTAAATCTCGACCAGAGAACTACTGAAAACCTGTTATGTGTGAAGTTATATTACATTCAAAGTAAATATTGTCACCAAATAGTGAATGAAACTAAATATGCTGTTAGATATTATTAAAAAATGTTTACAGTGAATGGTACTTTAAACAAATCTTTTTCATTAACTGAAAATATACTAACTCTTAATTATCATTTCACACTGCCATCAAAACCAAATCTGATTTATGTTAAAAAATATTATTTTATTATAGTATAAAGAAAAGATATAAAAGCAAAGAAATGTACTTCGTTTTAAATACCCTTGAAGAACATAAAATTAATGCCAATACATTTTTTTTTATTTGTTTAGAAACCAATCTGCTGAAAATTATTTTAGAAAATTTACTACTCTGAAATCCTGGTTCAATCACATGTATGAATCAAGTGAAACTGAAATTCATTACCTGTCAATTTGTTTAAATCTTCTGACAGATGAAACAAACAATATATAGGCAGCTATAATAGCTGTCATAATGATCCTTGCACAGTTTTGAGTGAATACAATAATTGATATCTGCATTTTCTCCCAAGAATGATGTTTGCAAATCTTCTATGTCTATGTATTATGGACTGACTAAGTACAGGTACTATACCTTTCCACACTGTTTACATTTGCCATCTTGTCTCCGTCGATGGACCCAGTGGTGTCGCATAAAATGTTGCTGTAAAAAGAAACAAAACTCCAATCTGAGTTTAATACATATACTAATTATGCATATTCAATAGCACACTGACCTTTCAAATACAATGAAATCCCACAAAACCAAAACCCCTTGGGATCAAATTAAAATTTGGTTTTGAGAGGGTGTGGCTTACTGAGGGTATGTCAGACTTGAATAAATGTATTTTTATATATAAGTACACCACTCCCTCAATAACTCGCGCCCGGATAACTCGCGAACCCGCTTATAATGCGGTGTCCGGCATGGCTCCCGATTTTTTTTCAAAGGAAATATATTTTAAAATGGGTTAAAATGGGTTAAACGGAAAAAATTCGCGATAAGAATTATTATATTGAATCTTGTTACATACTGTATATTATGTAAATTTTTGTACACAAAAAATAATTATAAATCATTAATTTTTGTAAAAACAAAATGGGAATATGGTATTTTCGATCTTTTTTGCAAACGTAAATCTACTTAGTGGAAATTTTATGTCCGATAACTTAACCAATTTTTCAAATACAAAGACATATATACAAATAATTATGATACATTTAAATAATTATTTGATAACTGGATTGTGTTTGAAAAATTAAAAGGTTCGAAAAATTACATGAAATACGGCAGCTCATTATATCATCGGAAATGGTGATTATTGCCGTAAAGATAAAATCTATATCATGAAGTTTTCAAGTTCTAATTGGATGTCTCAAATTATATTTGGGGATTTTTGAGAGAAAAAGTTGTTAATACTCTGTAAATAATCAGTCTGGTGAAACAGGATCAACGAAATATTATGCTAAGAGGTGGCAACAGATAAAATAAACACCACTTAAATATCTTGCTAGGTGAAATTCACATTCTAATCCTTAATTTCGCTTTTGGGTAAACACTAGAATTGCAACATATTCTCTTCTATGAAAACATGAAAATAGTCAATCGTCCGTCACATTGAAACCCGTGAGTACTTCTGTGAGAACCTAAATAAATGCCGGCTTTGTTTTGATCCACAACTCGGGGAAGTGTTAGTTGCATTAAACAAAAATCAATTAAAAAACACCGGTGTAGTTTTATCTGAATATGTCTTTTGTATCAAATCAAGCAAGGGCAGTACCATTAAAAAAAAATCAAAGACAGCATGCCGAGAGCAGCATAAGTTCTTGAGGTCATTACCGTTTTCAAAAATGAATTTTATCTGACTGGTCGAAACTGGTTTCACATTTTTGTGTGATATATTTAAAATATTTTTATCACTTTTGGAGATCCCTGCGCGGACATAGAATTAAACAAAATTCATTGTCGGGAGAAATACGCTCAGCGAATCAGGAAGCTGCATGTAATTATCCAAACTAGCTCAGAGAGAAAATCACCCGTGAACAAATACACAGAGGCAGCAGAGAAATCAAAGAGTAAAGAAAAAAAGGGGGCAGATGTTTTGAAAATGTGAAGTGATATTTGTCAAACGTGTTACAAACTGCAAGTATTATCGTGTTCTAATTTACGTTATTTTAAATTTGTAGACCCATTAAATGATGTCGGTAATGACTAAACCTTGTAAAAAATTTTTTTTACTTCTACCGCAATCAAATCAACCTGTCGTTAGATCGACATTGTGTTTTTTTTTTTTTAAATGGGTGTTGATCTTGTGTATAAAAAAATCTACTTTGGATCAAACAAAAATTTATCCAATTTAATACAATCATTTGTGACGTAGTACACAATGTGTGAAATCATACATGTGTTAAGCCAATGGAAAACGTGTGGATTATTGTTTTGATGATCTCCTCAATATCATGTAAGTTATCCTGAAATTAATGTTAATCTGTGATGACAAAAATAAACAAAGTACACAGCTATGAAAAAATATTTAATCATAGTTAATCATAGCATGATTATTGAGTATTCAACACTAACATGCCAAACCAACCCACCCACCCTTTTGCTTGTGTACGTCGATCCATTTGTTTTGTTCTTTGTTATAGGTCCCTCGATAACACGTGCCCTCGCTTATAACGCAGTCAATGTTTTTGGACCCCGTTGTGCGCGAGTTGTCGAGGGAGTGGTGTAGTTGTATACACACATCACCTGAATACCAGACATAATTTTTAATATAACCCCCCCCCCAAATTTTAAAACCAAATATTGTGTGCATGTGTAAGATTATGAAAGCAACAATATAACTTGAGTGATACAGAATGTAATTACAAGAGAACATGCTTCAGTGTTTATAAGTGCATAATATTAACAAAAAGAAACAGCTGTTGGCTTCATTTTGTATATTAAATAGAAAATTAACTGAAAAATGTACACTCATTTCAATACTTTTTGCCAGTCTCTGTTAGTGATGTTCCTATTAGTGTGGCTACAGATCT